AGGTCCAGGAGTCTGGAGCACTCTGGGAGGACAATCAGGTCCGGGCCCCCTGAGCACTCTGGGAGGACGGTAAGGCCCAGGCACTGGAAGCACTCTGGGAGGACGGTGAGGTCCAGGAGCCTGAAGCACTCTGTGAGGATGGTGAGGTCTGGGTGCCGGGAGCACTCTGGAAGGACGATGAGGTCCAGGAACTGGAAGCACTCTGTGAGGACGGTGAGGTCTGGGTGCCGGGAGCACTCTGGAAGGACGATGAGGTCCAGGAACTGGAAGCACTCTGAGAGAACGGTAAGGCCCAGGCACTGGAAGCACTCTGGAAGGAGGGTGAGGTCCAGGAGCCTGGAGCACTCTGGGAGGACGGTGAGGTCCAGGAGCCCGGAGCACCCTGTGAGGATGGTGAGGTCTGCGTGCCGGGAGCACTCTGGGAGGACGGTGAGATCTAGGTGCCAGGAGCACTCTGGGAAGACGTTGAGGTCCAGGAGCCCGGAGAACTCTGTGAGAATGGTGAGATCTAGGTGCCAGGAGCACTCTGGGAGGACGGTGAGGTCTGCGTGCCGGGAGCACTCTGGGAAGACGGTGAGGTCCGGGCCCAGGGAGGCACATATGGTGTGGGCTTCCCAGAGGGTTTGTCAAAGTTCACCTGAGTCACACAGCCAGGACCCTGAGTCCCTTAGGACAAGAGGTGGCAGTGAAGTGGGATCTGGGGGAGCAGCGGACATGCTGGTCCTAGCCAAGCATCTCTCACAGGATGTGACCGTCAGAGGCAGCCACCACCTCCACGCACACTGCCCCAGCCTTGGCTTTCTTCCCGACACCCTGGGATCTCACAGACACATGGGCCCAGGAGACATGGCCAACACAGGTTACACTGCAGGTGCACACGTGTACGTCCATCCATCTCATCTTTGACCATCTCCCCTCCTTTGACCTCCAGGTATACATGCAGATAGCTGCCCACACCTCTCACTACTGGCCATCTGGGAGGTCTCAGATCATAGCACCACATCCTCTCTCCATCCTCAAAGGCCACTGCAAGGCCTCCCTCATACTGAACTCCAAGGAGAGGTGTCAACGAAGGTGGAGAATAAAGCAGAGACCCTGCGAGCAGGTGTGAGTGCCACAGGGGCCCCCAGAGCCTCCTGCAAACTGAGGGTGATGTGAGCTGCCTTGTAGGTTCACCTGCAGCCTGTGCCCAAGGGCTGCTGGGCAGCTCCCCAACTTGGGTCAGACCCTGTTGGCTCAGGACACTCGAGGTACACAGGAGGAGGCGTCAGTTCTGCAGTGGGGCCTGAGGAGGACACCATTGCCCAACAGGGCCAGGAACTAGCCACTGGGCCCCATTTCTGCTCACTCATCTCACCTTGACTCGGCGGGAGACAGAGCCTTTCTCCCGCAGGGTGGTGGCTAGTGGATTCAAACCACTTGCCTTTGGCTTGGCAGCACAATACTGTAGCACTAGACCACCGGGACATGAGCCTCACAGCGAGGACAAGCACGTGCCCCATCAGCAGACACGGGGGACAGGTGCTCTGAGTTCTCTGTAGGGACAGTGAGGTCCAGGTTCGGGAGGAGAGGACAAGGCAAGAATGTCAGCGGCAGATGAGGAACTGGGCCTGCCGAGAGACACAGGGCCAGCCGGTTAGTGAGGCAAGTCCGCTGAGGGTGGGCTGCCGGACGGCTGTTCTCCAGAAGCAGAGGGGAGGGGCGGTCAGCCGATAGCTTGTCCTCCCACACAGCATGGGCGCAGGGGCAGAGAAGCATTCTGGACTAGAAGCTGTGGGTCAGGACCACCTCATCAGTCACCATTCTGAACGGTCACCAGACCCCATCACTCTCCCAGGCCTGTGTGCCCGCCAGGGGGCCTGAACACCTTGCCAACCTCACTCTCCTGCTCCACACCCCTCTAGCCTTCTTGTCCTTTTCAAGCCAGTCACGGTCTCAGGTGTCTCATTCTGTCTCTGCTTTTGTCCCAGGCCTGGCACGAGTGGTCCCTCTCCTCACACAGGCAGCCACGCCCGTCAGCCTGGATCCCTTTGCTAAGCCATTTTCCTCATCACCCACCCACGCCACTGCTTAGCACAGGGCCTGCACAGTTCTGTCCGATTCTCGGTTCCGAGAGAGGTAACAGCTCGCAGGAACTGAGCAGTTCAGAGGCTCATGGATGGTGCCTGCCCAGTGCCTGGGAGTTGACTAACAAAACAAGGTAAACAGAACCAGGGTAACGACCCCTTCCAACAAATGAGGCCTGAGTTCGGTGGGCAAGAGTACTGACCTTCCAGAGCAAGGGACTCATAAACACCTCCGGCCAAGGCCTGTTTAGGGATCTAAAGAAAACTCAAGTGTGTGGCCGGCTTCCTTTTTGTCCATCATAGCCCATAGGCTTGTCCAGAAGGATCTCAGTCCTTAGAAACACAAAGTCGGGACAGTCCTGAGGTGGACAAGCCCGCCCTGTCCCAAGCCAGGGCAGGTCTCCTTAAAGAGCCTGCTGGTCAAGCAGCCGGCACCCCCATCAGGACACCTGTTCACGGATCCTGGTAAACAGGGTGCAGCCGCCACACCCATCCTCCGCCCCCTGTGTGCTAGGCTGCCTTTTGGGGAGAGAGTGGCCTCCTCACAATCACGGACAGTGTTCCCCTGCAGCTGGAGCCACTAACCTCTGCACCCCTGGCCCTGCTCTGCCTTGCCGCACACCCCAAGAGGAGTAGGTCTCTGTCCTGATCATGGACCCTGAGCAGAGTCACGGCCAGAAGCCCCGCTACATGCCAGCTCCGGTAGAGGACACACTGCCCGATGAGCTGCTGACCAGAGCCTGGTGCTCCCCAGAGGGGCTGGAGCTCAAGCACAAGAACGCCTGGCAGCTCCCATGCAAGAGAACAACCCAAGCGAGCTCTGATAGCCTGGAGGCAGTAAGCGGCACTGCAATCGTGAAGGTGCATGGTTCAATCCACCAGATACTATGCTCAAGAAGGAGGGGCAATCTCTTCCTGTGCCAGTCGGATCCAATTCAACAGTACACAGACAGAGACACAGAGAGAGAGAGAGACAGAGAGACAGACAGAAACAGAGAGAGACAGTTGTCCTGTCCCAGCAGAAATCCCAGGCACTGACCCAGCCTCGGGGCTCACGCCACATCAGAGCAAGAGGCTGAGGACTGGAGGACTCAGCCTGCCAAGGTCACTCTGGATAGTCCCCTGAGATCACTGCCTACTCTCTCTGCCCTCTGCACACCTCTCCCCACCAGGCAGGTGTGGAGGGGATCCCCCACCTCCACCCAGACAAGTCTCCTATAACAAGTCAGGGTCCAGGATTTTAACCTTACCCCCTCACGTGCCCGGATGAGAGCAACCACAGAGGTGTACACACACAGCAGAGGGACTGCTGTGATATACAGAGAAGACCCCTCGGCCCACCCCTGCCCGACTCTGACAGCACTCCATGGCCTCCCAAGGCCAAGAAAATGCCAAGTAGTGAGATACCCTGCACCGCCCAGCCCCACGCTCCCCATTCACAGGGGGACAGCAACAAAGTACAAGGACAGAACATGACGTCGTGAGTCAGCCCTCCACCTCCACGTCCACGGTGAGCAGTCCCGGCCTCCCTGTCCCCTCCAAGGCTCCGTGTCCACACAGCACGCTCCATCCTGTGCCTCCCAGAGGACTTTCCCGGCAGAACCATCGCAGGTTGTACCTCCCAACACCCGATGAGCGCCAGGACTGCCCTGCTCCGCACGTGCAAGTGGAGCCCAGGCCCTCAGCCTGCTGGGGTCAGTGCGTTACAGCCCAGGGGTTCTAGACCGAGGGCACGCTCTTCAGCTGTCCTCTACAGGATGAGAGGACGATGAACAGGGAAGCCAGGCTAGGAAGAAGTCTCCACACTCCTCTGTAAACAGGAGGTAAAAACTTCTGGTTCTCAGAAACCCTGTTTATAAACCTGAGATGCACACGTGAGTTTCTGTGAAACCAGCCCACCTGCCCATGGGGTGTAATCTACTCGGTCTGCCCCGCGGAGCAGGCACGGCCTCACCAGATGGTGCTCCCTGCCAGGCGGGTAAGTGACCACAGACGCTCTAGCAGGGCAGCAGCGCACAAGGATGCCTGAGGGCACTGGGGAGCGGGCGAAGCACGGGGGATGGCCCAGGACACAGTGGCGCCAAGCTGCCTGCCTTGGAGCTCACCGGCCGCCGTGCACATGCTCCCCAGGCATCCTTCGGCCCCAGGACAGCACCACACTGGTCTCCTCAGCTCACCACTCAGAAGACACTGGCAGCCTGGGCACAGCCAGTCCTCAAGTCTCTGGCTGCCTGACTCCTCAGGCCTGCTATGCAAATGAAGCAGACTGGTTCCCCTACTCACACACCCTGCTGAGGGCTTCTGGAAGCGGGAGGCAGCAGATTGGCCAACCTGTCCTGTAGCTGTGGAAGGTCACTGGTCAGTCACCCTGCAACCCGGCGCTCGTCCAACACAGCTCTGGGGGTGTGGCCCTCGGGCCACAAACCAGGGGGACCTGGCCTCACCACTGAACACAATAACCCAGTTCCTGGTTTCAGGGTGAAAGCCCTGTGCTCACAAAACCCCTCAAGGCACCCACCCTCAGTCTGCGCACTCACACGGGCACACGCAGACGTCCAGCTGCAGATCAGCCAGGCCTCCTCGCCACTCTGGGCTCCCCACATCACGGCCCTCCCCACTGCAGGCAGGATGGGCAGCAGGTGCAGGCCAGGCTGGAAAAGGCGGGACTCCCTGGAGAAGCCGGCCAAGCACTTCTGTTCAAAGGCGACTGCTCAACTTTTCGGAGCTTCAGGGAAGCAAGGTCTGGGCACAGTCAGAGACCAGCCGGCAATCTCCTGGGGAGGCTGAGTGGGGCCTGGTGACAAGGGGTCCGTGCCACTCCAGCCCCAGTGCAGACAGGTGAAAGCATCGTCTACAGGTGCCCCGTGTGTCCGCTCAGACACAGGAGTACTCACACAAAGTCAAAGGCATGGCTGTGGAGTCGGACCCGACCCATAGCTGAGCCGCCAAAAGGTTTTCAGAGGCTGCAAATCACACAGGAGGAGACGGCCCGTACTTCCCACAGAGCAGCCGGAGGATCTGAACCACCTGCCTTTGGGTTGGCAGCACAACTCCTTACCCACTAGGCCACCAGAACTCCCTACACTCACATGTATGTTCCATATACACAGTTTTACATGCAAAAATCATACATGTGGACACCTGCAAATACAGGAATGTGCACACTCAGACACAGATGTGTCCCTGTATGATACACTCACGTACATTTAGACAGTTACACAGACACACCCGAACCTACAACGATGCACGCTCGGACACGCCTGCACACTGCTGTGCTACGGCAGCATCCCTGCACCACAGATCTGAACTACACCCCCGTCCTGTGCCGTCCTCCTCCTTCGGACACACTGGAGCCCACTGCTGCGGTCCCTGAGCCAATTCTTCGGGTTGAGGGGCGTCCTTTCTTGCTGACTCCACCTTTCCAAACACGATGTCCCTTTCTAAGGCACAGCCTCTCTTAGCAACATGTCCAGGGTCTGTGAGCTTTGTCACCCTTGCCTCCAAGGGGCACTCTGGCTGTACTTTCTCCACGATGGACCTACTTGTTCTTTTGGCAGCCCGTGGGGTACTCAGTGCATTCTCCAACACCACAGTTCAAAGGCATCAATTCTTGTCGTCCTTACTCTCTGTTCAGCTTTCACGTGCACGGCAAGTGCATGAAAGACCACAGCCTCAATCAAGCGCACCTCAGTCTTCAAAGTAATATTATTGCTCTTCAGTAATTTGGAGAGGTCCCTTCTTCAGACTTTCCCAATATAATACAGCTCCTGACCTCCTGACTGCTGGTACCAAGGGTGCTTATTGTAGATCCAAGAAAACGAAGTCACTGACAGTTTCAGTCTTTTCTCCACTGTCGTGATGTGTCTATAGCGGCACTCATACACACACAGCTATACCTTCAGACACATTCAGAGAAACACATACACGTGTGCACAGACGCACATCAGACCAGCACACGTACAGTCCACTCATGAAGACGCAGCTTCGTGTCCAGACGCTGTGTGTACACACAGGCACGCCCTCAGATGCACGTGCGGATACACAAAGATGTGCCCACGTACACACACAGAGTACACACAAACGCATGCATTCTCACAGGTAAAACACGCCAAGGATTCTCTTTCACATACACGTGTGTGTCCACTAGATCATGTCATGGTCCCTCTCCACACTGCTCAGCTCTCTGACCCTTGCACCCCAAGGCCTGCTGTCACTCTGGGAAGTCATACGCCTACCTTAATACACTGGCCACACCACCCAGGGCCTGGCCATGCCTGCCTCAAACACCTGCTCCTCAACCCTACGCAAGCGGACTGTTCACCTCCCAGTCCAGTAGTGCCTCCTGTCTGAGCTGAGGTGCAGGGGGACACAGTGCTTCTTGCTCTTCGGGGGGGGGGGGTCGGTCAGAAGAGCCCTGCAATCTGGCTGTGGGGCCTGCAGGGATTAGCCCGATTGGCCATGTGAGTCCCCAGAGAAAGGAGTGTGGCCCCGCCAGAGGCAGACGCCCGCGCTAAGTCCAAGCGCAGCACTAAGGTCACCCAGGGCTTAAACCGACACCCAGCCGTGCTCACCTTCCACGGCACATGAGATGCCAGGCACATGAGCACATGGCCTCTGCACCTCAAGTGGGAAACAGACAGTGAGGGAAGAGGAAAGCGAGACTGCTGGATGTCAAACAGAGGACACGGGTGACTGTCTGCTGGCCTGCAAGAGGACCACTAGAGCCCACAGTCTCTTTCTTTCACCCATCCGTCTGTCCATCCAAAGAGGAAGGGTATGCCCACAACTCACTTCTCACATCAGCCGCCCCAAAGCTCCACATCTGTGCATTTCTGGTGCATAAATGAAGACTGTGGCCCTGAAGCTGCTCCCCACAGGACCACTGTCCCCTCCCCAGGGCAGGTGCCCCCCCCGACTGCAGTAAGAACAGGAGTAGACACAGAGGACAGACCCACCACCAATCAGCAAACCTAGGTAGTCAGGGTGTGGGGGCGCCCACCCCAGGGACGCCTCCAGGTGCCCTGGGCTGAGCTGTCTTTCAGCCGGTGGCCAGCATACCTTTAGCATGAAAGGTCCAGCCCTGTCGCCAGTACTCCTGCAGCTGGACACGCTCCTGCTGGCCCAGGCCACACACTTCACTGTAGAACTGCCTCTCGATATGGACGTAGGCTGCTGGGATGGCGCCAGCCACACCCTTGGCCCCAAAGAAGCCGTTCACCTCAGGAGAAGCTAGCAGGATCTGGTACTCGGCCTGGGTGCCCAGGACCAGGTCCATGTAGGCCTGGGTCAAGTTGAAGTAGCCCGTGGTGAGGTAGATCCGGGCGCCCCGCTCAGCTTCTGTCAGCAGTGTCTCGGTGACGATCTCATCAATCTGGATCTCAAAGGGCTTCATCTGGATCAGTGGGTAAATCCAGGTGTCCAGTGCTGGCCTGTGGTCCCCAGAGGCGGCGGCATCTTCCTGCGTCAGCAGTGAGTCGCTGTGGAAGGTCTGGGCGTGCAGCATCTGCTGGCGGGTCCGAGCGGAGTTGATCACGTCCATGACCCTCTTGTTGGCAGCCTCACAGTAGGCAGCTCGGTCACCTAGAGGGAGACATGGCACAGGTGGGCAGAGCAGGGACCGCTGACGCTGCCACCTCGTGGTGTGGGGAGCCTCAAGGGCCACACTGCATGGCCGCCTTCTCTGGCTGCCCTGTCCTCAGCCCACCGCTTCCTGGAACCAAATGCAGACTCTCCTCCTTCCCTGAACACTTGGTACTTCCCCTCTGGTGTGTTACCTTAACCCAGGGGCCAGCAAATGCTTTCAGGGAAAGGTCTGAACCTTTCAGCCTTTGCACACCAAAAACACTAAGGACGACACAGAGATAATTAGGTAACAGAGACCAGGCTGATGCAAACGGCTAATGTGCATGGAAGTCCAAGGTCACCCAGGGCACTCAGCAAAAAGGGAAGGCAACTCGCTTCTTAAAACTCAGCCTTGAAAACCATCTGAGCACGGCCCAGCGTGACACACGCACGGCCCAGCGTGACACACACGGCTCAGCGTGACACGCACGGCCCACTGTGACACGCACAGCCCAGCGTGACACGCACGGCCCAGCGTGACACGTACAGCCCCCGTGACACACACACATGGCCCCATGACACGCACAGCCCACCGTGACACGCACGGCCCAGCGTGACACGCACGGCCCACCGTGACAGGCATGGCCCACTGCAACATGTACGGCCCCCGTGACACACACACAGAGTCCACTGTGACACGCACACGGCCCCCTGTTGACACGCACAGCCCACCGTGACACACACGGGCTGGCCAGAAGTCAGAGTCACCAAGCTGGCAACTCATTTGCACAACAAGAGGACACAAGCACTTAAAAGTTGCTTCCTGGAGAAATGAAACACATCTCCTGGAGTTTGCACTTGGGCCCCTCCCACAGCATACACTGACCCTGCCCGGTCCTTTGACGGGGGGGAAAAAGCCATGTGACACCCAGAGCAGATCTCTCTCGCTGCCAGGACCCAGTGAGCAGAGCAAGGGCCCTGCCCCTCCACAGGCTGCTTTCAGTGAAGGCGGGCAGGCTGCTGTCCAGCGGGCACAGGCCCATCTGCCCACCGGCCACTCTGAGCGATGAGGCAGAGGTGACTTGCCTGTGGCAAAGCCCCTGCAGCGCCCTCTACTGGCCCTGCCATGACCTGCCGCAGAAGGAGGCCCCTACCTTTGTAGGGGTGCTCCATCCCCTCCACCACCTGCACCGTGTCGTCTCCTTGCAGCTGCAGGGACACATCGCCCACGGCGTCCACCAGCTCCGTGAAGAAGTCGGCGATCTCGGGGCAGTCCTGCAGGAACACGTAGCGGTCCTGGCGGTTGGTGAAGTAGGAGTCACTCAGGTTGGCACTAGGAGGGAGAAGAAGCTGGTGAGGGCTCAGATCAGAGCGGGCTACAGTGCCCTCAGTCCAAGGGAGGCAAGGCTTCGTGGCCACTAAGGGACGGTTTCTGAGCAACAACCAGGTGCAAGGGAGGCACCAGGTGCGACATGTGAGACCTGAAAGCCCGCCTCTCCAGGTGCCTAATGGAGCCGAGGAAAGTGGCTGACCACTGAGGGCTGCCACAGAGCTGGCTAGCAGCGCCCAGTCCCAGAGACAAGCAGGGCCAGACTCCATGCTGGCTGAAAGGTGCTCTGCACAAGGCTGAGAGAACACGTAAGTGCAGGACCACCGTGGGCCAGAGACAGGCAGACAGACAGGGCAGTCAGCCTCGGAGGCCCCTCAGTGAGGGGCATCACCCAGTCGCAGGGAACCCGGGGAGAGCTGCGGGGACTCACCCGCTCAGGATCACGCTGTTGTCGAACAGGTAGACTTTGATGTGCTGGAGGCCGATGGTCTCGTTGAAGCGCTCGGGGATGAGCAGACGGAGGAGCCCACGCAGGTTCGGCGTGTGGAACAGGGACACGCGGACCTGTTCCGGAAATCTCTGCAGCAGTGGGAGCAGCATGGTGCGCGAGTTCTTCTTGCCTGGTTGTGAGAGGAGCCAAGAACAGGGGTTCACACCAGGGAGCACCCCAGCCTGCCAGAGACCACACACAGCCCTCACGTCCGCCCTTGTCCCATCTACACCAGTCAGGGTCTCTTATGCCCTGTCTACACCGGTCAGGGCCGTCCGTGACCCTCCACATTGCTCAAGGTTGCCCGTGCCCTATCTACACAGATCAGCACTGGCCAGGGCCACCCATGCCCCATCTACACTGCTCAGGGTCCCTATGCCCCCACCTGCAGTGGTCAGGGCTGCCCATGCCCGCATCTACATTGGTCAGGGCTGGCCGTGCCCTGTCTACAACTCTCAGGTCTGCTAATCTGGCCAGAGGAGCTCTGGGTCAAGTTCTCTTCTAGACCACTCCCCATCCCCTATCGCATTCTCCCACATGATCCAGGGGTCTTGCTGGTTTTGATGCTCAGAACCTGGTACCATACTCAACTTCCTTCTAGGGCTCCATCCCACCCCTCCCTGGACATCTCTGTCCAGGGTGACACCTCCCCTGCTCCAAGGAGGGCCCACTGAGCTCGTCTCAACAGTGATCCAATCGGGCTGGCACCAGGGAGTCCTGTCTGACCTCCAAGCAGCAGACCATCTCCCTAGGAACAGGGCGATGAGTGACAACCCTCTCCTTAGGAAAAGGGCAATGGTGGCCTGAAGATGCAGCCAGCCCAGGGGACAGAGCCAAGCCCTGAATCAAGGCAGAAATGGCAGAAAGAGACTATCTTTGTGGCCACGTCTCTCTAGCAGCTTTTCAGTCACTGGCTGTGGAAGGGTCCCTGCTCAAGGGCCGGGCCAGCCTTGGACGTCTCCTCAGCCCCATCTCTGCCTGAGGACAAGGAGGATCTGAGTGCACTGCACCTACCTCTCGAGCCGCGTGTAAAGTCCAAGAGGATGGAGACCTTGAGGGCGGAGGGGAACGGGGAGTGCAGTGACCTCTCCAGGGTGCTGGCCAGGCAATCCACCTGCCAGTGACAGAGTTCAGAGAGGAGAGTGAGAGCAGAGAGGAGCTCAAGCAAGACAAACCGACCTGTCCACTGACAACCCTCGGCTCCTCCTTCCAAACAGCCTCCCCACAACCAGGAGAAGCTGCCCAGTGCCCTCCCTGTCATCCAGACCTCGCGAGAGGGCAGGGGACCTCGGTCCAAGGCTGACCGCCTGAGCGAAGCACACTCTGGCCCTCTGGGAAGTGCTGAGACACAGCACCACACATGTCCAGACGCCCAGTCCCCAGACCCACAAGCTGTGGCCTCTACTCGGTCATGTTACGTGGGTATGTCTGAGACCCAGCCTGCTTGCTGGCCACGCATAACGAGCTGGACAAGACCGCAAGGCTGCCCACACCTGCAGCTGGGAGGAGCGGGGAGGTGGACTACACCTGGGCTCCTCTTGTTCTCCAAACTCCAGGCCTGTGCTGTTTCCCAGCCCCTGCCTGTGGGTAAGTGAAGGCTGTAAACTCTGGGCAGCACCACCTCAGGATGAAAAGCCATGCCAAGGGCCTGAGACAAGGCCATGCTTCCTCACATGAGGGCCCAGCTCTGCGTGCACCTAGCACACACCTGTCTGCAGTGCAGGGGAACACCTCATCCTGCCAAACTCACACAGTGTGTCAGAACAGCAGAACCCAGAGACCTAGCACCTGACCCTGGCTCCTGTCAGCCCTGCCCTGCCAGCACTGATCCAATTCTGCGCGCCTGCTGTAATGGGGAGCTAGGCTGGAAGTGGAGGCCTGTATTCCAGACCCATCTTCATTGCTAAGCAGCTGTGTGATGTCTGCAGGTTACATCTGCTCAATACAACTGAGTCTCAGTTCTTCATCTCTTAGGTGAGGGGTCTATAGCCGCCCCAAAGCAGCTCTGGTGGCCCCCGTGGTAAGAAACTGCACTGCAATCCCACAGGGAGCAGTCTGACTCCACCAGCTGCTCCATGGAAGAAGGATGGGCAATCTCCTCCCATGTGATGAACAGCCTCTGAAACCCACGCTCGGCAATGGGTTGGTATGCAACAACAACAACAGGAGTCCCAGGAGCCCAGAAGGTGCCACAAAAACCTGTTCTCTGAGAGCAGACGGCAGACATCCTGGGCTCCACCGTCAGCTGAAATCGTCAAAACTACTCTGCCACCGTCAGGGGAGGGCAGATACAAGGTGACACGTGAGGGAGCATGGCTGGTTCAGCAACACAACTCATGGGCACTCAAATTTGAACTTCAGGTATCACAAAATACTAATCTGGATTTTTCTTCTCCTTCATATGACAAAGCTAGAACCCCTCTTAACCTCAAAGCCAGGCAGAGGGCCACATTTAGCCTGAGGCTGTAGCTAGATGAGACCTGGAATGGCAGACAGAGTGTCCAAGAGAGCCGTTTGTGGAGTGACTGAGATGCTGGCTGGGACATCTGAAGCCTATGATCAGGCCTCCCTTGTTCTCCTCTGGGCCCTCCCGGTACGGTGCTTTAATACGAAGAGAGGCCAAACAGCGAGCCCTGATCACAGCATCACTCCAGCCATCTCAAATTCCACCAATGTCCAGCGCAACAGAACTGTCTAAGGCAGTCTGAGCTATCTGAGGCAGAGGCTGTGGGCTCCAGCAACTCCACAGAGCTCGGAGCTGTGAGGGAGACCCTGAGGCCAGGGCGCTGCAGCCACGTACAACTTACCAACTCCTGCTCTAAGGGGCCCGTCCCCAAGTAGAGGGACGCCATCACAACTCGCCTCTTGGCTAGCTTTATCTGCCCCTGAAAGAGAAGAAGTCATTTGAAAAGTCACAAAATTGTTTCAGCATTCACAGAGGAATGATTTAGTCCATGGCTCTGGAGGCACGTGGTACCCAGTCCAGCAGTCCTGAACCCTCCCAGTGAGTACTGAAGCTAAGAACCGCATCCCTAACTTAAGACACCCAGGCCACAGAGTGAAGCAGGGCCTAACGTCACACAAAATGCCACCAATTCAGCTGCTAAAAAGGAAGAGGTTCCCAGCAGATGGTGAGACAAAAAGCAAGCTGGGCTGAGTGCAAGCAGTGTTCCCTCCTGCTCCGACTTCCCAGCCCTGCTCACACCTGAACGTGTGTGTGTGTCAGTGCGCTGTGTGCTTACAGAAGCAAAGAGGACACACCAAACACCAGTCGGGCCCCATGAGGGGGCACAGGCTGGAGGGGTGTGAAGGGGAGGACAGAGAGTGATCACCGCCCTCTGTATCATCGAGGTCTTCAGTGTGTAGACAGATGCACAGACCTAATGTTCAAAGACAGCACATCACTTCCATCCTTCCCTGGAGACACTGCCCAGCCCCCGAGAGCAGCTGACAAAGACAGAAAGCGGCCTCACCACCACTGCCAAGCCCTGAAACCCAGAAACCTGGGAGGGAGGCTGTGAAGAGCACGGGGTCTGCCATGTGCTGCCACTTCAAAAAGGGCTGTCACCTCTACCACACACCTGCATTACACGCCCACAGTTCAACACAGGCTAGGCGTGTCTCTCCTAGACAATGAACACACCAGCAGAAGCTGATGGAGGAGGAAAGGTGAAAGGCCTTTCCCACAGGGGGCTCCTTCCTCTGTTTTGCTATCAATCAGTTGGTGCTGGGAAGGAGTGATCAGATGGGAAGGAAAATGAAAAAGAGAGCAAACAACGCATGAAAGGCTGAGTGCAGGAGAAGTACCTGTCACTGAGCCATCCTCCCACCTTCCAAGCGCCCCAGGCTCGTACAGGCTCAGGGGTGAGGCGGGAGCCAGCACAGGCCTCCCTCCGGAGGACACAGGCTGCTCTGTCTGTCCCGGGAGGAACCCTCCCACACAGTGAGAGCCGTGCCAGAAGCCCTGCCCACAACTCAGGAGAGGCCAGGTTCTGACCTCGAGGCCTGGCCTGTCAGGGCAGGAGAACAGCACAGCATCCCCTGCCAGGGGAGCCCACCATAAGGAAACTCAAGACAGCGAGAAGAGTCTCTTTGGAAAAACCTGTTTCTAAAAGTCAAGGAGACAATGAGTTTGGACAGAGGGCAAAGCAGTTCACGCACAGGCTCTGCACAAGGAGCCAGGCAGGCATGCAGAGGGAGCGGGGCAGGAAACAAATGCACACATCACAGGGCCACAGTCCACAGTCCACGCCACACACAAGTGCACACTGCACACACAACACACAGTGTACACAGCACACACAACACACAGTGTATACAATACATGGTGCACACAGCATACAAGTGCACACAGCACACACAACACACAGGCTGACAACACACAAGTGCACGCAACACAATGCATACACTACACACTGCACACAGCACACTGTACATAATACACAGTGTACACAACACACAGGGCACACAATACACAAGCTGACAACACACCAGTGCGCACAACACACAGTACATACAAGCTGACACCACCAGCTCCGACACAGCATGCCACAGATCTATCTGGATGGACAGACATGAAGCTGCGTGCAGTCTCCAGGCACAAGAGGGCAGGGAAGAAACGGAGCAGCATTCACAATTACAGTCCAGTGTCCGCACAAAGATGGGCTTCCAGCATCTCCTGCTATCTGCTGGCATCCTGCCCGCCCTCGCCATACCTTAATTCTAACATCACTGCTAATATGAACTCAGTTCCTGTTCATAAAAATTAATTGGTGCAGAATGATTTCATCTCAATTAGTAGTTGTGCCATGAAAACCAGACACAACACGAAAGCCCACTGAAAGCTAAGGCGCTGAGAGCCCAGAGGGACAGCAGAGGCCGCAGAGCCAGGCATCACAGACCTGGCATCACAGGCCGGGCCCACGGACCCACTGCCGCCTCCTCCTGGAGCACATCCTACACACTGAACTCCATCTGCAGCTCATCTGGTCTTCACATCCACTCGGGAGACTTGAACATGCTCCGGGTACTTCCTGGTGAACCCACCAGAGGGTCATCTAGTTTTCACACCCTTCCTATCACATCCAAGATGAAATGACTCTCTAATGTTCTCTCAAGGATGCTTCACGGCAGGGTCCAACAGGCTGGACCCCCACGGACACACCGAGTGGTCCAAGATTATTTCTTCAGACACGACCAGCAAGGACATCCTCACTAAGCGCTCTCTCTGTGACCCGAGGACAACATCGTCAACCCAGAGCCAAGGGAGCCCATCTGTTTACAAAATCAAACACCAGCACTTTTCCCAACCTTGTCATCCCCACTCAGCACCGTGGAAGGGAGGAGGCTCCTGACTGGGACTCAGCTCGTCTACAAGCTGACGCAGCTCAGTAGCCACCACAGGCTTCAACAACAGAAGCGACCGCTTGTCCCTCTTCCCTTTCAGCCCAACTCACCTTCATGAGCTCGAAAAACTCCACCGGGGAGGAGAGCACCTTGACGTGAGAGCTGGAGACCCCGAACTCGGGGACCAGGTTGCGGATCCACTGGAACCTGTGCACAGCCTCCGGACACAGGCAGCAGGGCGGGGAGATGACCTGGGGGACCGTGGGGGACAACAAGGGAGCCAGCAGCAGCCATGGTGACCTGGGGGAAGGAACATGTGAATTACAGGCCGTCCCACACCAAAGGCCCAACTTCCGATTTGCTAGAACATTTTTAAGTGACTCCTAAGTCACTCTTTGCAAAAGGCTTTTTTCCTTTAGTCCTCTCTCCTAGTCCCTAGAAGAACAATTCGAAAAGTGGAGCCTCCTCACTACACCCCAAACTTTAAGTCCATTCCAAAAAATCAGGGACCAAAGTGAGAACGGCCACTGAAGGGTGACTTCCGCCACAGCTGAGCTAACTCACCTCAAAGCAGCACTCACAGAGCGGCCTAGGAGGAGGTGAAGTGCGGGGCAAGTCAGATATTCAAAACCCAGACCCCCAGCAAAATGACAATAAGGCACCCACTTAGCAGTAGGACCCAGAGAAGTCCTCATTGAGAGGTCCACAACACAAGGAGGGCCCCTGCTCACTGGACACAGCCTCCCTGGGGACCACTTGCAGGCCAGCTCCCCCTGGGACCCAAAGCCGACCGGGCAGGTCTGAGTCTCCCCAGGAGGCTGCAGCTCTAGAGGGTGCCAGGCCCTGAACCCCACCCAATCTGCACACGGGAGGAGCTCCAGGAGGGGCCTCGAAAGCACCCCAATCCAGCCAGGCGGCCAGTCGAGAGATGACCTTATTCACTGCTTCAGGGTTGATCGTCCCAGGATGCCCACCCACTTCTCAGTGCCAAGAGAGTGCTTGGCCCCGGGCAGAAGGTCCAGCCTCCATGTGCTGGACCAGGCGTCACAGAGGCGGGAAGGAGGCGGGCTCTAAAGAGACGGGGCAGCAGGTGAGCCAGAGGCCAAGGTGCGAGACAAGCCCTTGCTGCGTCCACTTTCCTCAAGGCCAGCTCGGAGAGGGATGGAGGGCAGGGGCGATCCCGACAACGGGAGAGCTGTGTGGCAGTCTGTCAGTCTGAACCCCCAAGGAAGCATGACGTCTAACATTCACGAGTTAAACATGGGCTGGCTGAGGTGGAAACCACACGGCAGGCAGACATGCTCTCCCGCCTCCAAGCACTGTGCGTCTCTCAGACCACGTGGGAACTCGTCCCTGTCACAGCTCACATCTCTAAAGGTAGCAGTGACGTGCAGTTTTGCTGGCATCCCTCAGCCCACACGCTGACTCCGGCCTCACTTTCCACATCCCAGGCCCTGCAATCTTGTCTTAATGTGGTCCCGCACGAGCCAAGGCTGCCATCACCAACAAGAGGAACAAAGCCAAGGTAAACATTCGCTGAGCCGCCTCTGAGCACCATCCCGAGCCTCGCGGAGCCTGCGCACCAGAAGTCACCCCAACAGGAGGAAACGCCAGCACCAGCTCCAGATCAAGATGGACAGCAAGCGTGTCAACAGATCTTCGCGCTTGGAGAAAGAGACGTGCACCGTGCTGCCAGGAAGGGGACTCACGGGCGGGCAAGACCAGGAATGAAGTCAATCAATGTCTGGCTGGCTCAGGAATTGGCCAAAACGGAAATCCACAATAAAGTCATAGCAAACGAAACCTTTACAAGTACCCTACAATGATGTGCAATTAACATCTTCTAATACCTTTGCCAAAATCACTATTCATTTGCAACTAATGGATACAACAGGAGAAGAATGTAACATCTCTGCAAATGAATACAGAAACAGGAGATGACAGATGTGGTGACAGAAATGAAGCTGGAGACCAAATGACTGAATTTTATACATTCAATAATTTATTCATTACAAGTATCTTTTATTAAAAAAACAAAAAAAACAAAAAACAACCACTAATGGCGAACACACTCATGGGCCTCACCTGATGGACAACACAGGAATTGGACTGAGCACTTCTACATAAAGAATCACTGGAGAGGCACAATGTCAGCAGGTCAGATGCTGACTGTGGAAAAGACCATCAATTACTCTTGTGTTCATTCAAACTAAAGCTGTAGAAAATTAACAGAAATCCACATGGACCAAAATATGACGCTGAGTCAATCTCACCTGAATTTAAAAACCACCACAAGAATAGTTTTGTGTCCAGAAACAATAGCAAAGTTCAACAGGGAAGCAAACAACAAATGCTGGCGAGATTGAGGAAAGATTAGAACGCTTACTCACTGCTGGTAGGAACGTAAAATGGTACAGCCACTATGGAAGGTGGTTTGGTACTTTCTCAACAAGTTGGAAATAGAAATACCATTGGGCCCAGCAATTCTACAACTGGGACGATAACCTAAAGAAGCCACAGGCACGACTCAAACAGATGTATGCACACCGTGTATACTGCTGCCTTATTCACAATGGCAAAGAGCTGGAAGCAGCCCAAGCGCCCATCAACAAATGAATGGAAAGAAAAATTATGGTACATTCACAGAATGGAATATTACGCTGCATTATAAAACAATGAAATAATGCACACCCATGTTCACTGCAGCTTTGTTCACAACAGCAAAGAGTTGGAAACAACCCAAGTGTCCATCAACAAACAAATGGATAGAGAAGCTGTTGTATAGTCACACAATGGAATACTACACTGCATTGAAAAACAAGGAACTCACAAAATATTATTCAAAATGGGTGACCCTGGAGGACATTATGCTGAGTGAAATATCTCAGTCACAAAAGGACAAATACTGCATAGTGCCACTGTTGTAAAACAGGACTGACATCGGGGTTGGGAGGAATCTAAGAAAAGAGGTTTAAATAATGCATATCACATTGAAACAGATGAGGGAGAGAACTGTTTGAAAGGAATCTATGGTTAGGTATTATTGTCATGAAAGAGTCCAGAATGGGAGCGTCATGGAGGAGTAGTGGTGGTCTTGGAGGGGTGGATTTTATAATAATGAAAGTTTTGGTGTGGTTTTTTAAATTACTTTTCAGAGAAAAACCGGGGGTGGGCAGGTGTGCAAATCCAAAGTCTGTATAAACTTTCATTGAAATTTCATTTTAAAAAAACCCCAAAAACAATGAAATAGTAAAACATTACACAGCATGGGGGGGGGGGGTGGGAGCCTGCAGGACACTATGCTGAGTGAAACAGCTCAGTCACAAAAGGACAAATACTGAATAACACCGCTGTTATAAAACAGGACAGCCAGAGGTGGGGACTGGAGAGAGAATGGGAAAGAGGGGACAATGAACACTGCATTAGATCAGATGAGGGGGAAGAGTCATCTGAAAGGAATATATGATTAGGCATTAAATGCACGATAACAATCTGGAACAAGGGGTGCAATGCAGGAGGCGGGGAGAAGGGAAGAAGAAAATGTGCATCAACGAAAAAAATAAAAATAAAACTTTTTTTATGTTAAAGAAAAGAATTTTGTGGCAATGAACACTAATTAATGATCAAAGACAAGATAAGCTGTAGGATGATACCAAGGATATCATCCATGAAGCAAGCAAGAGGCTATTATAACGAAAGGGAAGAAAGAAAAGACCAAAATGAACGTCAGAGACTCTGGAAATTGTCAAAGGACTGCTGGAGAAGACAAAGCAAAATATTGTAACAACGTGCAAAGAATGGGAGCTGAAGAATAAAACAGGAACTTGGCATTTCTAAAATTGAAAGAACTGAAAAAGCCTTGAGTTGCAACACTGAGAGAGATGCTATGGGCAAAATCTTGAATGATCCCGGAAGCATCAAAAGAAGATGGAAAGAATACAGAGCACTGTACAAAAAGACTTGACTAACTCGGAATCCTTACCAGAAGTAGGATCTGATGATGAACCAGTGATGACAAAGGAAGAAGTTCAAGCTGCACTGAAGGCACTGACAAAAATAAGGCCCCAGAAATTGAGGAGATACCCATCAGCAGGTCTGGACAGGACTGTGCAAACGCGACATGTCTGTGGCCCAAGGGGATTTGACAGTCTGCCAATAATGAGAAAAGAGTGAAAAACACCTTTAAATGGAACTTCTCCAAAGTTCGAAGGAGCAAAAATATCAATGTAAAGACGAAGATAACATTAGATCCAATCCATGGTCTTTTCAATCAGTTATACATCTGAAAGTAAATGAGTACTGATGACAGAATAGATGCTTTTGAGCTGTGGCACTGGAGAAGAGAACTGAGTATCTCATGGACTGTCAAAGGAGTAAACAAGTACATCTGCTCTTTGGAGGCAAGGACGGTGCATCTCCGTCTCACATACTCTGGGCATGCTGTAAGTCGAGGCCAGTCCTTGGAAATGACTGAACAATGGGCTCGTATATCAGAGATGATTAGGACGCCGCAGGGCAGGGCACAGATCTGCGGTTTACAGGGCCACTGTGGGTCATGGGCAACTCAACAGCATCTAGAAACAAGCATTTCCTAGAAGGGCGTGCCAGTGGCCTAGCGGTAAGGCGTCACTCCGACAACCCGAAGGCAGGCAGTCTGACTCTACAGCTGCTCCAAGGGAGAAAGACAGGCAATCTTTAAGACTTACAGCCTTGGAAACCCACCGGAGGGGTAGCCCTGACTCAACGGCGGTGAGCAAGACAGACTGACAAAGAGCCTCCTGTAGTGAACGGGTCTAACGTAAAACTAACAGGCTCTAAACAACCTTTAAATAAGGGGGGCGGGGGAAGGCTTTTGTTTAACCGAGCAATAAAACCCTCTTGCTGATATTTTCTAGACTGGATGACATCAACTATCGCCACGATATTGGTAAGACCAGATGAACAGTGTGAACACCTGGACAAGAGAAGAGCCTGTGAAAAATGTCCTCTGTCCTGTCCTTTGAATGTTTAAGTGCCCTCTGTCTGCAAGATGGGGAGGCAGATCAGGGAAGCAAGCGCGCGCGCGCACACACACACACACACACACACCGTCTCCCACCACACCTGTAGAAATTAAACCTTCTGCCTTTCCCATCCGCCTCCAGTCTCCAAGATTCCGGTATTTGGCCGAAGGCAGCAGAACCTGTTTCACCGTAGCAAACCATCCTTGACAGAGAAGCCCAAGAGGGTCTCAAGAGTCAGTGGAGAGATTTTTTTTTCCCAAAAGAAAAAGATGACATAGGCTAGGAGAGTGCCAGGGC